CTCTCTCTCTCTCTCTCTCTCTCTCTCTCCCCCTCCCCTCTCTCACTCTCTCTTTAAAAAATAAATAAATAAATAAATAAATTTATTTTTTCATTGTAGTTGGACTCAATATCTTTATTTATTTATTTTTATGTGGTGCTGAGGATCAAACCCAGGGCCTCACAAGTGACTCAGTGAGTGCTTTACCACTGAGCCACAACCCCAACCCTTAAAATAAGATTTTAAAAGGGATGGGGATGTTACTCAGTGGTAGGGTGCTCTCAAGTTCAATCCCCAGTATTGCAAAAATAAATAGACATACAAAGAAATAAAAATAACATAAGCTGGAAAAAATCAATTCACAATCAAATGCATGTTCAATTAGATCAACTGACACTAACCTAATGTTTTTCCATTACTAATTTGGACTATCCATTATAAAGAAAGAATAAATCAGTTACTCTTAAGTTGTTAAGTGTTGTTTTATTTGTGTTAAGTAACAACTTAAGCATTTATGTATGGTTAGATTGTTTTCTAGTAGTGTGTTGCATATTTGGAATATTTTAAAATTGAGTATCATATTTGACCATTGCAACCAGACCTGGTAAATATGTGCCGCACATTGTAACTTATAATAAGTCTTGCTCTAGAATATCAATGAGCATAGTCTTACCTCTTTCAGGTCTTCATATAGTATGAACTTAACATTTTCATTGTCCAGGTGTTTGTTCCAATTGATTGCAAAATCAAAATAGCTTCCCCAAGAAACTAAAAACACAGGGAAAAAGACTTCATATATAGGGAATTTTATAAAATTGAGGTAAAAATGATAGTTAATTTATGCCCTAAAAATTGTTAATAAAGCAGACATATTATTTCTATGTTCTGGTCTTCAAAAGCTGGTGGGTATTTTACATATATACAGAATCTCAATTTAAATGCTAAACTTTTATTGTCAATACTTAAGTATATTTATTTTTCACAAAACTCACAGTTGAAAAAGCATATTTATACATTCAGTGCATAAAAAAATCAGGGAGAGGATAAGTAACCACTTTAAGGCCACACCATTAGTACACTACAGGTATTGCTATCATTCAGTCAGTCTGACAACAGAGCTGGTACTGCTTAAGGGAAGTAGAAAAATGGGAAACAGAATTCTCTATACTATCTTACCTCCTGAAGGCTGAATGCGTATCTTCACTTTATAATTAAGGAGGTTGAAGTTCAGAGAGATCAAATGTCTTGCTTACATCACTCAGGTATAAAGTCATGTGAATCTGGGTTTACTTTTGAACTCTACTACTTAATGGCTATGTGACCTTGCCATGCCTCTACTTTCTTCATTAGGAGATGGGGATAATAAGAATATTATCTTATGAGGATAATACTTTTCTCCAGTATTATCCTTAATAATTATAGTGAGAATTAAAGTTCAATACTGGGTTTTGTCATACCACTTGTCATGTAGTAACTTCTTAGTAACTGGTATCTATCGTAATTTGTCCAATATTAATTATTATTATATAATGAGTGATGAAGCCCAATCCAGGCCGTCTCATTCCAAATCTGATGTTTCCAGTGCATTCAGTTGCCTTTATAAGTTGCACCTAAGAAATGTGCAAGGCAGAGCTTCTATCCAAGTTATCACTGCCACATATTATCACTGCCAATCAACTAATTGTGGTAAGAGAATGGATAGGGTGACAGATTCCCTAAAACAGGTTGCCCCACCCATAACAAATTTCTCATCATTGACTGTTCTCTTGTGTCATTAATTGAATGACATTTCAGATTTGCGTTAACTGCATCTGTACAGTCTTAGTGAAGAGTTATTAGACAAAGCAAAGCATTATTTTTTAAATTTTTTTCTTAGTTGTCAATGGAACTTTATTTTATTTATTGATACGTGGTGCTGAGAATCAAACCCAGTGCCTAACATATGCTAGGCAAGCGCTCTTCCACTGAGCCACAACCCCAGCCCCCAAACAAAGCATTCTTAATGGTGCTTCCTATGTACCCTTTATGGTCTTTTCTTTCTGCTCTTCTCAATCTCAATATTTAATCTTTGCTTAGGAGCCAGCACTGTGCTCAGTGTTCACACAGGTGGGATGTTACATCATTTTCTGTGCTGATCACCTTTTTAAAAAGTCCTTTTGGTTGATGTGTGTGTGTATAATGAATACATATAATATGTACATATTATATATTACTCAGCCTTAAAAAAGAAAGACATAGTGCCTTTTATTTATTTATTTATTTATTTATTTATTTATTTATTTATTTATTTATTTTGGAGCTGGGAATTGAATCCAGAACCTTGTGCATGCAAGGGAAGCACTTGGTGAACGGAGCTATATCCCCAGTCCTTATTTCTAATAATATGAATGACCCTGAAGAACATTTTGCTAACTGAAAGAAGCCAGACACACACACATACACACATACCTATATTATCTCATCTTAATGTGGAACCTAGAAAAAGTTGAATACATAGAAATAGAGAGTAGGGGGGCTGGAGTTGTAGCTCAGTAGTACAGTGCTTGCCTAGCACGTGTGAGGCACTAGGTTCAGCACCACATAAAAATAAATAAATAAAATAAAGGTGTTATGTCCATCTATAACTAAAAGTAAAAAGAAATAGTGAGTAGGATGCTGTTTCCCAGGTGTGAGGGAGAGAGGTAATGGGAAGATGTAGATCAGAAGGTACAAACTTGTAGGTATGCAGTTTTGAATTATTCAGTTGGGAATTGGTCTAGAGATCCAGTGTACAGCATGAGGACTAGATAGTTAATAACATTGTACACTGAAAATTTGGTAGGATAGTAGATTTTGGCTGCTGTCTCCACATACAAAAAAAAGTAGCTATGTAACATGATGCATGTGTTCATTTGCTTGACTGTAATCATCATTTATATATATATATATATATATATATATATATAAATAAACATAATGCTGTGGTGCATGCTTGCAATCCCAACAACTCATGAGGCTAAGACAGGAACATCACAAATTTGAGGCCAGCCTCAGCAGCTTAGTGATGTCCTGTCTCAAAATAAAAAAGGGCTGGGGGGTATGGCTCAGTGATAGTGGGCCTCTATTTCCAGTACTGAAAAAAAGAAAAGAAAGCAAGAAAGAAGAAGGAAAATGGTTCTTTAAAAGTGAACCGACGGGGCTGGAGATGTGGCTCAAGCGGTAGCGTGCTCGCCTGACATGCATGTGGCCCGGGTTCGATCCTCAGCACCACATACAAACAAAGATGTTGTGTCCGCCGAAAACTAAAAAATAAATAAAAATTTTTAAAAAAAAATAAACTGACAAAACTTCTTCCCTAGGGCCATCTGGCATCAATTCTTTATTCTACTACACTGCAAAGACTCAAAGAAGATACTATTAATGAAAGTCTTTATTGTTCCACCACTGTACTCATGGCCACTTATAATCAGTGGTACCACAGGCAAATAATCTAATTTTTTTATTAGTTTCATCATCTTTGAATGAGGCCTTACTCATGGTTTGTTATGTAAGTGAAATTATGCACATAGGACACTTAATTTAGTGCCTGAAGGATAGGTAGACACTAGCAAACTGTGATTATAAATGACCAGAGGTAAAATATTAACACGTTCTAATGAAAACTTACTTCCTTTCTGGCAAACAAATGTCTTACACATAGCTGCTCTGAGTCAGGATTTTTAAAAAAATCTTTTTTGGTTTTTATCATTGTGTTACCTAGTGAGTTAAGAGACTGAACTAGAAATGCTTTTCTACATGACTCCATTAAAGACCTTGTCCCACCCCCTGTTCCACAGCCATTCAATACTCCTAGTCAACATATGAATTGTCCAGCTTATTTTTAAATCAGTAATGCATTGTAATTTCTTGATGCCCAGAACTAGTGGTGCTACAAAACTTCATTTGAATGCAACTTTCTAGTTCCTGGATCTACCTAAAACGTTTTTTTCTTACTCTAAAACACCTTTGAGTTTTCATATATAGGTGGTCATCAATTGAAATAAGGAGAGTTCTTTTACCAATAGCCATACCTTGTCCTTTCATGAACTGTCTGAAGAATTCATCCCAAGAGGCATAGCTTGGAATATCAGGGACATCATTGTGGAAATGGAAAAAAGATACCGCTGTATCTTTAGGGTTGCGGAATATCACCAATATCTGGGGAGTGAAAACCAAGTTAATTTATTTAAGTCTATGTTTTGAACATTGGAAGAGTGAAAGGGGGAGCAGTGTCATTGTGTCCAGATGTATATTTTGCACAATTGTGTTAAGAGAGAGAGAAAGAAGGACAGACAGAAAGAAGTCGAAAACGGGGAAGCCTGGGCAGAGGGGAGGAAGAAAGAGGAAGGCAAGGAAGATAGATGTGGTCGCAGGGGGCCTTGGCTAATGATGACTTCAGAAAGTAAAAACGTGTGTGCAGATGATAGAAATAAAGAAAACAGAGCACATGCACCAGAGGAGTCATAGGAGTATCCTGTGAAAGGCTAAGCCCCCAAATAAAATTAAAATTGCAAAATAACTTTAAAGACCATAAGGTTAGAACTGGTGGAGAAGATCAAAGAATGGCAAGGCCCACTGTCTGGGGACCAAGGTATGAGGTTTGTGTAAGATGGTGATGTAGATGAAGAAGAACCACTAAATTGCCACCTTCTGTCTTCTCTGACGATGACAGAGTTTTTTTGGATGAAAATAAAAAGCAAAATAAACACTGTAAAGAGCAAATTGAAAGAGAATCAAATATTGTGGTAGGGTGCCCGGCGCGGCTCTCCCAGTATTCTGGCTTCCAATCTGATACTTTGTGTTTCAAACCAAGGATTCTGGAGAAGGTCACTGAGCATGTTGGTGAACTCTGGGTATTCTAGGTCACACAGAAGAGCTCAGGTGACTAGAAGCAGGCAGAGGTCATTTCACTTATGGAACGTAAGGGAGACACAGATGGTGCAGAGTTCCAATTGCAATTGTGACCTCCATGTAGGCAAAATTTCTCCAGGTGGCTAAATAGATTCAAGGCAACATAAAGGAGGAGGCAGTGACCAGTAGGGGGCAACCTGGGTTCTCTCAGATACCGGCACTGCTGACAGCAGGATTTTTGGACATGGTTTCTAATTAATAGATTTGAATTGCTTTTGATTGCTTGTATGAAAAATAGAAGAACATCAGTGGGAAGCAGGAGCAATTAGGCATATAAAGCTAACCAGTACTCAAGTGCAAAGGAGGCTAAATCATTAATGAATATAAACCTGTCTGAATTTTATTTTATCCTGAGAGGACCATCGTTAACAATTTCATGGGTGATTGACCTAAAGATTCAGATCTATTTCTATCAAATCAGTAGATGACATGAAACTGAGAGGGAAATAGGATCCCCAAACACCTTGTGCATCTAAAAAAAATGAAATAATGCTAACAGTATAAATTTTTTCCCCTGAGCTGGAGGTGTGGCTCAGTGATAGAGTGCTTGCCTAGAATGTGCAAAGCCCTGGGTCAGTCCCTTTACTTGGGAAAAAATTTTCCCACGCAGGGAATCAACCCAGGGCTACGCACATGCTAGGCATGTGCTCTCCTACTGAGCTACACCCCAGCTTCTTTTTTTTTTAATTATTATTTTAGCAAGGACTCACTAAATTATGGAGGTTAGCCCTGAACTTGCATTCCTCCAGCTTGAGCCTCCTGAGTCGCAGAGATTAAAAGAGGGTGGACCACTGTGCAGGCCATAACAGGGTAAAATTGAATATTCAGAAAAATAAATTATTAAAACAAATTAAAAAAAAAAGAGATAAATGGGCTGGGGGTTTGACTCTGATTTAAAGCTTACCATTCCCCCCTATCCAAATTTAGTATATTCTTGTCATTTGAAGGATTTTATGTTTGAGGCTTTAACTCATTGAACACTTTGGTTTGCAGTAATTCATAATTTCACAAAGACAGGAACTTGAATTGAGAAAACCAATAGGTGAGAATATGAACAAATCCTAAGCATCCACCTCTTAACCCATCTGTTGCTCTTTTCTTGCCCTTGTATCCTTTTTTAATATTTATTTTTTAGTTATAGGTGGACACATATCTTTATTTTTGTGTGGTGCTGAGGATCGAACCCAGTGCCTCATGTGTGTTAGGCAAGCGCACTACCTCTGAGCCACAATCCCAGCCCCGCCCTTGTATCCTGCCAGGTGCAGTGGCGCACATCTGTAATCTCAGCTATTAGGTAGGAAGATTTCAAATCCAAGGCCAGTCTCCTCTACATCTTGACCAGACTTGTCTCAAAATTTTAAAAAGTAAAAAGGGCTAGGAATGTAGCTTAGTAATAGAGCAAACCCTGGGTTCAATCTCCAGTAACCCTTCCCCCTACAAAAGAGAGAGAGAGAGAGAGAGAGAGAGAGAGAGAGAGAGAGAGAGAGAGAGAGAGAAAAGAAAGTAACCAAATGCATTATATTACTTCAACTCTGTTTGTAATGAAATCATTAAGAGGAAAAAAAAGGCCATCTAGATTTGTGATTATGTTAACTGCATTAAACAGAAAATTGTACGTTAAAGTATTATTTCTAATTTTGTAGATTTTCAACATAAGGAAAAACTGTTTTACACAGTTGTACAAAGCTGGCTTAGTACAATTTAGGGAACAGAGGATTTACAATTGGATGTGCTCAGTCTTGGTCTAGACAATCACTTAATGGAATTAAAACACCCACTGGGAATAGAGCAGACCATTTTTAAGGTATTTTCCAATTCTAGGCTCTCAGGATTCTTGTATTGTAGCCACAGGTGGCTAATTCTAGTCCCACTTTCCTAATGTTTTCCATCCTACTCTTCTTTCCTCCTCTGTTCCTCTTGTCTCTCACCCCTGGCAGTTTAATCCAACTGTTTTCTTTTCCTTTCTTTGACGTTACTTCACTATTTCCCATTCTTCTTTGTGGCATTCAAAAGTTTAAATCTTGATTTTTAACTCACTCTCATTCTTACCTTCTGAGACAGAAAAAAGAGGCACCAAGAAAAAAGAATGGGGCAGGAGGAGACCAGGGAACAGAAAACAAAAAGGACCAGGTAAGAACTAATAATTATAAGAAATAGATTAATGAATCAAGATTTTTCAACAAATGATCAGACTAGCCAAAGCACAAGTAGTTCTGCATGCATGGCATGAAATTTATTATTATGTGTGAAATGCAGAAATAAAATAGTTTCAGGCAAGGAGTGATTACCAGAAATAATCAAAGGAAAATTTCTGCTCATCTTACGAGGCTGTATTCTTTTGTTAAACACTCTAAAATAGTCTAGTGGGGTTCTGAAATCTACTAATTGTATAAAACAGATTACAAAATGCTACACCTTTCATTCTATGCATTTGTCTTATATCTTAGTCCAAAACGCATTGAACTTGAACATAACCATAGCAAATATATCTGAAAAAAGAAACAACAGCGAAAGAAATACTAAATCTCATATTTTGATTATCAGCATTCTATGAGAAAACTCATCAGGTTTCTCAAAAAGCTAATAGCTACGGGGCTAGAGTATAACTCAATGCTAAAGTGCTTTTCAGGCATATGCAAGACTTTGGGTTCCTTCCCTAGTACCACAGTAAAAACAAATGGAAAAAAAAACCCCAGCCAATATATACACATAAAAATTGCAAATTCAAATACCATTAGGAAGGGACACTCACCTTGACTTTATGTTCCAGGATGGATCCAGGTAATTTGTCATAATGGAGGTGAGTTGTCAAAATCCTTGGTGACGGAAACTGTTTCATTCTCTTTAAAACATACAAAGTAAGATGAAAGAGCAGGTGTCGTGCATTTGTGTGTGTGTGTGTGTGTGTGTGTGTGTGTGTGTGTGTGTTGAATCACCCCTATGTGTGGTATCTAAATAAGAGCTTCAAGCACCACTATCACTGCTTCTTCATTTCTCCTGCTCCCCCTGCAAGCAATTCAATAAAATGTCCTTGCTGGACCCTGCCTATTAATTTCCAGTGTTTGTTGTTGCTTAATATTTTTTTGTTTACTTTTTTCTACAGTTGTTTCAAATCTCTTTTGTTCAAGACAGTTTACAATTTGCAATCCGCTCTTTCACTTATTTGGAGCTTTTCACATTCAAGTTCTTTTAATGGAAATATTCAAGTCTTCCCACAGCTTCTGTAAATCCATTTTTAACATCTAGATCTTTTTTTAACCAACTAAATTTCCATGCAAATATCCCAACAGGGGGCTGGGGCTGGGGCTGGGGCTCAGCTGTAGCGCACTTGCCTGGCATGTGTGAGGCACTGGGTTTGATTCTCAGCACCACATATAAATAAATAAAATAAAGGTCTATCAACAACTAAAATAGATACATAAATAAATAAACAGAACTTGAAAGTCCAAAGAATTACTTAAATATCTAGGAAATATATTACTAAAGAAATTCTTGTCAGTATGAGAATTATAAGGTGATTGATTCTTTGTGTGTGTGTGTGTGTGTGTGTGTGTGTGTGTGTGTGGTGTTGGGGACTGAACCCAGGGCTTTGTGCATTTGAGGCAAGCACTCTACCAACTGAACTATGTCCCCAGCCCTGGTGATTAATTTTTTCTGTTATCTATCTCTTTGTTATCTATATCTTTGGAAATCAAGTTTTCTATTTAATCTGCCAGGATAAAGGGTTTTAACTTAAAATCAGACCTTTAGATCATGCCATGGTGTGGGTGGGGGATGACACTAAGTCTTCAAGTTTAAGTTCCACATATTTAGCAGTCACTCTGTTTGCTATGGCTACGGTATACCTACTTTTTTCAAGTGATAAAATGATATTTGAACATTTGTGGCCAATTGTTTCTGTAAACATTTAGCACAAATCTCAACTCAAGAAGGGAAGTAAAAAAATGAGATTTTTAAAAGGAAAATATTTAAGTCAACAATATTGAAGTCAACACTTGGGTCCAAGTGATGATTAGCAGTGATCATATCTGATTTACATCAAATAGTATTTGAAGTACTTTTACATTCATTCACAACAATCCTTTCAAGTAGATATTGAAACCCCCATTTTAGAGATTAAGACCAGGCTTTGAGATTTTAAATGCTTTGTGTAAAATTACACAGGTGGTGATTTTCAGATTAAGTGATAGAGTACTGTTTCTACTAAATTACATGGCCCCAAATCACACTGTGACACATGAGAAATAGAAAGGTTATTCAAAGGTTTAGAAATATATCCCCAGGGAAAATGACAGTTAACTGCCACAAAATTAGATAAATATATAATACTGTGTTTATGAAAATGTATAGTATAGCCAAACTATGCCATGTAAAGACTATTTTATTTCAGGAAATATATGCATTCTAGAAAGGTTTTCTGTAAATTGAAAAGATTTGTTTGAGGTTACTTGTTTGGAAATTAAAATAGACTTTCCTAGAGAAACAATCAAAAATGTGAAAACTTATGACTCAGCATCCCAAACCCAATTTCAATTTTTTAAAATTTTATTTACTTATTTTGGTGCTGGGGATTGAACCCAGAGCCTTGTACATGCAAGGCACGCACTCTACCAACTGAGCTATAACCCCAGCCCTCCTATTTCAATTTTAAGAAGAACCTGCTTATCTCAGTGATAGGTAATAACACAAGCAAACACAATAAGAAAGGTTATATTGGTAAGGTGCATAACAACAAGTGAGATGACCTGTGACCCACATAATAAGTTTTTAAAAGAGAAGCTGGAAAGCTAGACATGTGTTAGCATCATTTCAAATGGTTGATGTTAAGCACGATCATTAGGGGAAAGGTTTTGCAAGGACCCGGAGAAGTTAATGGGATTTTTCATTGGTTTCTCCAATTAAAAAAAAAAAAAGCTTCTTAAATCTCCTGTCCACCCATCCTGCCTGCATGTCTGAACCTGTCCCGACTGAGCCTCTACCAATTGTCCTTTAGTGCAGATGACCCTCCCAGGTGTGGGACCTGCAGCCCTGATGTGCCTGCTAGTCCTTCTGATGACTGCTGATGTTCTTTGGCCACCAACCAGACCCAGGACTTGGCACTCGCCTCCCCACCCCACTCTCCCAGTCAATTATTTCTGCTACTTGGGCCCAATCCATGGAAATGGGCTGTCTTAAGTTTATATTTGTCATCGTGGTAAGACTCTCAGTCACTTTCCATAAGCTATTCCCTAAGTCCCAGTCCAGTGGCTTTCTTTAGAGTAACAGCTTTGTCTGCCTGGTGGGAGATTTGGTGGTGAACACTTCTGAAGTTTTATTGAGACTGTGGTCCCCTTAAATACAGCATATCTTTCCCCCTGCATTCTGTTGTGTCTAGGGGCAGGGAGAGGATGCTCCTCCTCACTCCTCTTCTGTGTAAGCACTAAGGTCCTCGCTTCTACCACTTTCTTGCCTTCCCTGAGCTGCCAGGGAGCAGAACATCCTGACTCACACCCAAGTCCCAGTGTTGGAAAGGTGAGAAATACCACGTCGGGTGAGTTGTTAATGCCTTCCCACACATCAGTGCCCTCGTCTCTCAGCTATCACTTGGCCCCTTCCCATCCCTCAAACATAAACACCAGATCGTAATTGAGACAGGGAAATAAAAAAAAATAATGTCTTGTGAGGAAAAGACCAAAAATGATTCCCATAGTATCCTGCCCTTGTCTGTGTCTTCAGAGGTGAAGCTTTTTAAATTTCAGTTCATTTCCAGAGGTTTCTTAGTCTACCTTCCCCTACTACATTAAAATAACAATAATAATATGGATGGTTATGTAGTGTAATCTTTTTTTTTTGGAGGTGGGGTGCAGGGATTGAACTCAGGGGCACTTGACCACTCAGCCACACCCCCAGCCCTATTTTGTATTTTATTTAGAGACAGGATCTCATTGAGTTGCTTAGCACCTCATTAAATTGCTGAGGCTGGCTTTGAACTCAAGATCCTCCTGCCTCAGCCTCCCAAACTGCTGGGATTAAAGGCGTGAGCCACTGAGCCCAGCATGCAATGTAATCTTTAAGAGCTCAAATCAGAAAGCATGGGTTCAAATTCTGGTACTTATTAGCCTCTTAACCTTGGGTAAATCTCTAACAGTTGTTTCTTTTGTGAAATGGTAATAAAGGTTGTTTTGTGATAAAATCAGATAATAGCTGGAAAGCACTGAGGATATGGCAAGCACACAATAAATTGTAGCAATTGTTACCATTATTCTAACTGAATTCAGCATTGAGGAAACTCCAATGAGGAAGAATTCCTACTATGATAATTTTTTGCAAGTTTAAAGTCTGTTTGTACTAACCTGATATTTTTCTGAGTCTCCACATTCAAGAACTGGGAATTCTGGACATTCATATTTTTTCTTAGAAACAGCAAATATTAATTCACTGACAATGTGAAGAATCCAATTTGAACCTATAATAAAATCCAGAAAATAAAAGCTCATTAAGGAATCTTGATATAACAAAGGCATGTGGGTTTAGTACATTCATGATAAAAATGAAAATGTACGGGCTGGGGATGTGACTCAAGTGGTAGCGCGCTTGCCTGGCATGCGTGCGGCCCAGGTTCGATCCTCAGCACCACATACCAACAAAGATGTTATGTCCGCCGAAAACTAAGAAATAAATATTAAAATTCTCTCTCTTTAAAAAAAAATGAAAATGTACAATGAAAAAAGAAAACGTCCAACCATTACCCAATGGGTAGCTTTAGTTCTCCTGTGTTTGAAATAACTCAGGCTATACAAAGAAACCATTTTGTAATAAACAGCATTTACTAATATTATTGTGAAATCCAATTTATTTTTAAAATTTAAGTTACTTCTCAGATGTCTCCTTTAACAAGAGACATGCTTCTTTTTGAATCTAAAATGTGTCCTTATAAAAAAAAGTTATGTTCTAGAAATGGTTGTTTATTATATCTTATATGTATTATTTTACCTTAAATTAACAAATATTTTCCATAGGAGAATATAATTTTCTTTCTTTTTTTGGTGATGCTGGGGGTGTACAATTTTGATTTTTAATCAAAACCCAGCAGTGGGTACAAGAAAGAGAAATATTAAATGAAGCTGACTTTAATACGCAACAGTTCAAAGAATTAAAAATAGATGGTATCAAAAAGGGTAATTTAGACTCTTAATATCTCATCCTCCGTTGATAAAGGACTTTTGTAAAAATGATCTGAGAAACTGGAGGGTCCATGTTTGATCCTGAAAAATAACCAGTGATCCAAAAATCATTACATAAGTTACAGAAACAGCCATGCTTTTGCCTTTGGTCAAAAACCAAGATGAAAATCTCTACCACTATCCAAGCTCCACGGCAACTGGACTTTTCCTCCTCCTGCTTCACCTCTGCAGCCCCACCACCCCACACTTCTTCCACCACCCATCATCCACCATGCCATTTACACAGACCTCTTCCTTCAGACACTGGGGTTTTTTAAAACCCAGCTATTCTAGCTTTTGATCTTACCCCCCTCCTCACTAGTATCCAGCCAGCTTCATGGAAAGATGAATTGTCTTCATCCCACTTTATCTTGCACCCACCTCCAACCTACTCCTTGTTAAAAATGCGCTTACAGGAAATGATTGGCTATTTACCACACTTTGGGTAAGATGCTAGCACAATGTCATCGCTCCTGGCTTCAAAGGTATCCATCGCTTGGAAAGTTTCTGAGGTACACATGGTAACTGGGTAAGGAATCCCCTGATAGGTGAAGAATAAGCGAGAAAGTGCAGTTTCTTTTGATTTTTCTAAAGCGTCATCAATGTACTCAATAAATTTGGACTTATCTGCCATGCTGACTTCCTGCTAGTGAATCTGCTCTGTGCCTGTCCAGGTGCAGGGATTGCTTTTAATGGAGTTAGAGTAAAGAACTCCTCCCATTCATCGTTTAATTCTCATCCACCTCTTCCCCCTTTGGACATATCATCCTCAACAAAAGGAAAGCCACAGGTGCAAACCAGGGTGAGGATCAGGCAATATTAACCCTGAGTGCCGATTGTATTACCATCTAGGTAACCCGCCCAGTGAAAGTAAGAATGAAATCTTCTAATAGAGGATTAATGCATATTAAATATCTAACGATAGGTATTTAGCTGAATCAGGCATACTATTTTCCTATTAGCCGTCCACAGAATGAAACCCAGTTTTCTTCTTGGTGGGCAGTTTTCCACACACATCCTAGTCAGTGTGACAGGGAAGCAATGGGGTTGCGGTGTAATAAAGGAGGTGGACAAGAGCCCAGACTCGGGGGACAACCTGGGCATCAGGCTCTGGTCTACCATTTATGGGCTCAATGGATTTAGAAGTCTCTTCTTCACCTATTAACAATAGAACATTATGTTTCATAGGGGGAACTGCTCTGTGAGGGGGAGAACTCAATGTGGCCCCGTCTCTAGCCCTCTGGGTTCTGCTCCTGCTGGGTACGCTCTCTAGGATGAGATCCTGCTCTCTAGAGCTGTTTCCCTGGCAGCTCTTCTCCCCTGTTCCCTTGGGTGAGTTGGCCCACAGTTTCCACCTCCCTTACAGCTTATTGTGGGCCTGGGGCTAATGGGAAGTGAACATAAGTGACATGTTCAACTTCTGGGTCATGTCCTTAAGACAGAAGTTGATGGTTTTTCCAATTCATATCTATTTCCTTTCCCACATCTGGATGGCGGACCTGATGCTGGAGAGCTAAACTTATTAATTTGGATAAAAACATCATTTCAGAGGATGGTAGATCAACAAAACAGAGGAAACCTGGCTACTGGACAACCTAGGAACACAGAATCATGACTCACATCTATGACAAATCTTCATCTGAAGTGCATGTGTGTGTGTGTGTGTGTGTGTGTGTGTGTTTATCTTCAAATTCTGGTATTTAATAAACATGTAAAGATCCTCTGAATATAAAAGTTACTTATATTAGTCACTTATGCCTGTAAGTATAAAACTGATAGCAGTAGAAATGAAGAACAATTTGCAATTCTAACAACATGAGTAAAAGGAAAATTCTGTAAGATTTGATTTAAACTTTTAACTGCTTGTGGTCAACACAAACCACTGGTTTTTTGTTTGTTTTTGGGTAGTGGGAGTTAAACTCAGGGGCACTCGACCACTGAGCCACATCCCCAGTCCTATTTTTTTTTTTTTTGTATTTTATTTAGAGACAGGGTCTCACTGAGTTGTTTAGAGCCTCGCTTTTTGCTGAGGCTGGCTTTGAACTTGGGATTCTCCTGTCTCAGCCTCCCAAACTGCTGGGATTACAGGTGTGTGCCACCGCACCTGGCAGTACAAACCACTGTTTAAATCCACAAGTTTTACCAATCTTGGGGATTTTATTTTCATTTATATGAATTATGAATTTTACTAGTGTTATTAAATACTACTTTCAGCATACAGCTGCAGAAGATTTTTTTAGTTATCAAGTGGTAGGTAGATAAGGTAGGGTGTTCCCTATGGTAAGTTCTCATCAATGGGTTATTTGCTGCTGTGTTCTTTTTCTGACATTTCTCGATGGTGAATTGTATCCTGTGCTGCTTGCTGCATTTTCTCCAGTTTTTCCAGAGTCAAAGATTTTAAGGCTAAAAGTTGTTTACACAGCACCATTGTGATTACGCATTCCCCAGACAACTGCCCTTGGTTTGGAAGAACTTTCTGGAACATTGACTTCACTTCTGCCATATCTGAATTGTTGCATACATTAATTTTTTCCCCCTGCAAGTTCTGGTCATTTTCTTGCTGTTTTAGCATCTAATCTGGTAATATCAAGATGTCAGAGTTCTTGACTAAAGTCTACGGAAGGAACTACATAATGTCATAGTCTTGTAAAGAAGCATCCCTTCCAGACCAATCAGCTGTTGCCCAAGGTAACGCTGAGATTAGGCAAAGGAAAAATCTGTATCATGCTGGAGACAGGAAGTCAGGAAGCTCTCTGGACTCTATATATCCTGTCTAGTTTACTTGCTGGATCAAAATTTACTCTTTAGCTTTTAAAATCAAATTTCCATAAATACATATTGTGCCTTTCTTCTTCCTTCCCATTCTCTTTTCCATATCATTACCTTTCTTTCATTTTTCTCCCCAACTCTAAGAGCATAGTCTTTTACTCCGTTTACCTTTCTTTAAACCAATTCTAGCCTGTTAAGAAGCTAACTCCTGGTTATGCCTCATTTCCTTGCTGTAATCATTCGTTTATCAGTTAACATAATAGCTCACATTATTGAACACTTACATGTACCACACCCTCTATGACACTGCTGAGATGACATGAATGATGTAAGGTAACTTCCTAACAGACCTATGAAATTGGTGTTATTTCATTACCAATTGGCCGATGAGGCTTGTAGGGTCAAAGTAACTAACTGGAATTTGCAAAGCCCTTGAAGGAGCTGGTATCAGAATGCAGGCCGGACAGCTCAGACTAGTGAGAACAGCAGCTATTGAGAGACCCCAGAAGTCCCAGATTTAGTTGTTAGTGCTGGTATATTTTCTTTTCTTTCTTTTTGGTTTTGCCCACCCCCTCCCCTGCCTCGGGCCTCTGGATTGAACCCAGGGTGCTTAACCATTGAGCCTCATCTCCAGCCCTCTTTGGCTTTTTTATTTTGAGACAGGGTCTCACTTAGTTGCTTAGGACCTCACTAAGTTTCTGAGGCTGGCTTTGAACTTGTGATCCTCCTTCTTTAGCCTCCCAAGAGGCTGAGTTACAGGCATGAGCCACCACACTCAGTGCTGGTATGTTTTCTGATGCTTCTTTACCTGCTACAGAACAAGAATACCAGCCCTTTCACTGGAGGCCGGGGGAGGGGGAACTTACCTTCTGAAGAGAAAGATTTTTATGACCACAAGGGAAAGAAGTTTTTTGGTTTCTAGAATATTTTATTTAAAAACAACATTTTGACCAAACACTACATTGGATGTTTACACTAATTGTAAGACTCATTTAATTTCAGAAATGTAACATGTGGAAATATATATATCTTAGGATTGAGGAAATCTTATACATATGTCAACAGAAAGTAGTTTACTGAGCAGGGTGTGGATGTGGGAGAGTAGATTTTTGTCTTTATTTTACAAGAGGAAAGAACTAATAAAAGAGAGTCCCTAGCTAGGAACAAATATCTGAATATAATCAAATTTGTAAATATTTTTGGTACTGAGGATTGAACCCAGAGGTGCTTTACCACTGAGCTATATTTCCAGCCATTTTTAAAATTTGAAGACAGGTTCTAAGTTGCTTAGGGCCTCACTAAGTTTCTGAGGCTGACCTCAAAAATGTGAGCCGAGTTGCTGGGATTACAAGTGGTGTACCACCGTGCCTGGCTGTGAATATTTATTTTTAAAAAATTGACTTGTGAAAAGGTAAAATCAGAATAGCGGAGTATCTTAATATTTGTATATTCCACTCCCTCTTGAAGGCCTTATTGTCTTACACAATAATGAGTTGATGTTCACTGTGGTTGGGAAGGTGTTATAAGAATCTCCCTCTCAGAAAAGAAAGGAATAGGACTGGTCTCCTGCAAATTGGCTCAGTGGGATTATCCAATTCAACACAAAGAGTCTTTGTTTTCCTCTAGCATAGAATTTAAGATATTGATTCAGACATGATTATTGTTTGCTTGCTTCTTGGGTGAGAGAAATATTTAAAAAGACAATGGTCTGGATCCTGTTCTGACAGCAATACTGTGATTATAAGAGGATTTAGGGGCCTCTTTGGGATGGGTAATGTGACCTCGATTCTTGTTTGTCTCCCCAGGATTGGGTCATTCTGTCAATTGGCAATTCCACATACTCAACTCTGAATTGTCTGGCATGAATGATGAAGGCAAAGGGCAGGAAAGTAGATATATTAGCACTGCCCACCTACAAGTGCAGGTGGGCCTCATGTTATGTGAAATCCTGCCCTCCCCTTCAGCACCTGTCTTATCCACGGTAAGGATAAATGGCCTAGACTTTCTAGACTTTGTTTCCTTGTCACTAGATGGAGTCCAAAGAGATCATCAAAAGAGAAAAGGGGATCTCAACTCTTTCATCCCTCCGGCAGGTTCTTGACCTACATCACAGAAAGATATTTCAAAAGAATCATAAGTGGGGCTGAGGATGTGGCTCAAGCGGTAGCACGCTCGCCTGGCATGCGTGCGGCCCGGGTTCAATCCTCAGCACCACATACAAACAAAGATGTTGTGTCCGCCAAAAACTAAAAAATAAAAAAAAAAAAAAAAAAAAAAAAAGAATCATAAGTGGAGGGCTGGGGTTTTGGCTCAGTGATAGAGCGCTTGCTTCACATGCATGAGGCACTGGGATCGATCCTCACCACCACCTAAAAATAAACAGATAAAATCAAGATATTGTGTCCATCTATAACTAAAAAAAATTTTGGAAAAAAATGCACAAGTGGGGATTTATTTAGGACAGCAAGATTTATTCAGGAAAACAAATACTAGAGCAGGATATGCACTCAAAGGTAGAGGGGTACATGAAGTGGAGCTTCAGACATGCTTTGGGGGTCTCAATCTTTTTTTTTTAAAGGAAACTATGTAAATGGGGACCATGAGAAGCATACAGGTGGCATCAGCCTAATGAACTTGATTCTTTTGATGGTGGAGCACAGACTAGGCCACAGAGATCTGGTTCTTCTTAGAATCTTCAGGTTGATTTTATCTAGTCGATAGCTGCTGCTGCTATCATCTAGTCAATTAGATTGCCCCCATATCATGGATCTTTAACAACATTTCTCTCTAGGCTTCTTTTACTTAGTCTATAAATACATTCTGTAAGCAAATGAGATACTCTACAATTTTATTGGATGTTTTAAGAATTTAGGCCTAGATAAAACAAACAAACAAACAAACAAACAAACAAGCAAACAAAACAGGCCTGGGAGGTTGAAGGGAAGGGTGTTCATGGAGTTTTTAGATTGGAAGTTAGAGTCTCTCATTCCCTGTTGGTCTCCTTCTACCTATTCTATTTCTTCTATCCCACCTCAGCCTGACTGCTCTGGGATACAGCTGCAAAGGAGGCTTATTTAAATGTCCCTCCTTTGCATTAAGATCTTTCCTGCTTACCTTCTCTTTTTCTTGGCTACAGGCTTATCATCCACCTTCTCATGAGAAAACAGATGGTAAAAAAGAAAAAAAAAGTCTAGTGTGATTGGAAATGAAGTCGGATTAGTAAATCCGGGTCAAATAGCATGGGTTTCTGTGAGACAGCCAGCCTCACTGCCCGTGGTTTGGACAGTAGTGTCAACCCCCTCTGACTATGGCCCTCGCTATGCAGCAGCCTTCCTTCTGGATGAAGTTGTGCTTTTTCTTTTCTTTAGCAAGAGATGAGCTTTTCTCCAGTGTAGCTCAAGAGTGAGGTTTACCTTGGAATTCCTCAGACAGGGAGAGACTGAAATCTTTTTCTTTGGGGGATTTACTGAAGATTGGCCCACCAGGCAGGTGAGGCCGTGAGACAGTGGAGGCGGAAGCATTTGAGATCCAGGATGGCTTGTCTGGTATGCTACTTTGGCCTTTGTAAGGAAGGAGAAATTCCTTTTCCTTCCCCATCCTGTGTTCCTGGCTGAGGTCCCTAGGACAAAAGACAGCTTAACCAGAGAAACTCTATTAAAATTTTACATGATATAGACTTCATCAAGAACTGACGCCTCCCAAAGAAACAGTTAAACTTGTATATTTTTATGTTATTTGATGAATAGTGGACAATTATGGAGACATGTAATTGTACAAAGGGGTGGGATTCAAGAGGAATACGTTTAGGGGAACTTAGCCAGGCCTATAGTTCTGATTCTTTCCTTTGATCCTGTGTTTTCAGGGATAAGAATGTTCCTTTCTTCTGGGCATAGGGAGGGCTCCTCACTAAGAAGGTCTTATGATTTATTTTAGTGGAAGGTCAGAAAATCCTTCCTAGATCTTATCTTATGCCTTGGGGGAAAAGGGTAAAGACATGGAAAGGTGAGAGAGACCTTCCTGCATCTGCTGTTTTCTCAAATGCCAAGTTGCCCTCTTTGGGGGTAGCATGTTTTGAAACCCATCACCTCCTTGACTGAGGGTGATGGAGGACTGCTCCATTCCAAAGTCCAGCAGCTAGCAGAGCAGGGTCCTAACCACCTCCCATTGTCCCTGCTGCAGAAACAGTGCCCACTGCTCTTGACTACTCTGTGGTCTTCTGCAGGGAAGACTCAGCCACTTCCCAAACCCTAGGCCCCTCCTCTTTGAGAAGGTGTCCTTTGGTGTCCAGCTGTGAGGGATCATTGCTGCCTCATGTCAGATAATGAAAGAGCTTTTCCCTCCAGTATCCTCCAGACCAGCTGCTTTTTCTCTGAGGTGAGCATGGAAGAACCTCTCTATATTCGTTATGGGGAGATTTCTGGTGCCCTATAGTCATTTCAGAAGATGGAGACTTTGGTTAGCTTCTGTGTCTCTGCATGATGCAACAAGAACTTCTAGTCACTGGTATCCATCTACTAGCAAATCAGGACAGGACCAGGAATGCACTGCCCCCAAAGGACCCTTTGGGAGAGGTGCTGGAGACTTGGAGGAGGATCAACTGGACTTCTGAATTGGGGAGCTTGAACATTTGCATTCTGGGGCTGGGATAAAGCAGGTTTAGTTGCCTTCTCCCCTCAGTTATGTAGAACAGCCTTTACACCTGCTATTTGTGAGTCTCTCCATTTGACACTCAAAAGAACCAGTGCCACCCTGAAAAATCTGACACAAGAGTCTCTCCCACATGCCCAAACACCCTCTGCCCAATTATTTGATCAAATCACCTTAGCTTCCTTCACCTGGTCTCCACTGAATCTCCACTTTTCTTGCCCTAAACCTTGTGGCCAAATGTTCCTTGCCTCAAAACATGATTGTGGAATCTATAAATGTATGTGTTCCCCTAAAATTCATATGTTGAAATCTTAATCCCCAAAGTGATATTAAAAAGTTGGGGTCTTTGGGAGGTGATGAATTCAGGAGAGTAGGGCCTTAAGGACTGGAGTTAGTGTCCTTATGTAAGAGAATCCTTCACCTCTTCTACTAGGATATAAGTCATCTTAGAAATCAGAAAGTTAGCTTTCATCAGACACTGAATCTGCCTAATGCTTTGTTGTTGGACTTCTCAACCTCTAGAGCTGTGAGAAATAAAGATTTATCATTTACAACACCTAGTTTATGATATTTCTTTACTATCGAATAGTGTTTTAACTGATACATATTTAAGGAAAGTCTAATGAACATAATGGGGTTTCTTTTGCAATGAAAATATTTATTGTGGAAAAAATGATGAATGAGAATGATCCCTTAAAGATTATGGCTGTCTTAAAGAAAGAAAGAAAGAAATATTAAATAGAATAAAAGTTCAATCCAGAGATGGTTTCTTTAGCAGACAGGTCAAGGGGATGCACAAAGCCCAAATATTAAGAAGATACTAGAAAAGTTGATTTAGGGCTGCTGGTGGGTATGCTTAAGGGCTCTGGATCTGTGTAGATCTGAGTGCTATCGACCAATATGACATACTTTAATATAGTTTATGCATCAGTATTTCTCATAATTGATGGTAGTTGTACAAATGAACCACATAGGCTGGACTTGGAGACTTGGATTTGGCTGGGGTGGGGGATGTGGTGAGTGTTGCAGAGGCGGTCAGAGCTTCCTTCACCTGGTATTGACAAAAACAGCTCCAATTATCACCTCTTCTCTGAAAGACTTCATGGCTTCCTGGGCTCAGAAACAAGGTCTTTAGCATTGTGTATTTTTCTCCAGTCATTTGTGGATATATTTTACTTTTCATTAGACTATACTTCGGTGAAGGTCTATCTAAATATTTGGGGTATTCCAGGTTTTGTGTTACCCGTGATATCTCAATAGACCCCTCATTTTCCCTCTCCTCCCTTTGCGTCATCTCTTTCTCTTCTTACCTAGTGGACAGTATTTACTGACAGAGCTTCTTGAATTTTGAATGGCAAAGGAATGGTCTAGGGATACTGATAGACCGCAGACCCTGGTTCAGTGGGCTTGCATTTCTGTCCAGTTCTGAGATGTTGCTGATCCTGAGACTTTGTGGCTTAGGATGCAGAAAGATGATACTCATCCCAGGCTTCTGAGTTTGGTTCTTGGCTCTGAATTATTTCTTCACACTTGATTTTAGCCTAAAGGCCGAGAAATGATCCGAATTCTTTCTCTTACAAGATGTGTGATTGTGTGCAGGGTAAATCTCCTACCTCTTCTGTAAAATGAGCTACTCGCGGCACCTGCAGAACAGGGTTACCGTGGGGGCTTAGTAAAGTAACACGCAGGGGCGGCCAGACTGGCTGGGGGCGGGGCCACAGCGGGAGGGGCGGGCGCTGCAGCCTCGCGCATGCGCTGCTTGGGTGCGTGCACTTCAGGTAAGAGCGGCTGGTGGCACCAGCGAGGCTTCCCTAGTTGTAACTCTCGGGAGACCACAGGGACAAGTTTATTTTTGTTTTTAAGTTTTTATTTTGGAAGCGAGGCCTTGCCAAGTTATGAGATCTCGGACACTCCAGTGTCACTGTGTCCCGTGCTCGGGAGGCTGAGCATTTCCGGGTCGCTGGTCGACCTTGGCTGGGGTGGTGCAGACCCGCCCCGAGAGCTCCCGGCGGAAGGCAGGGAGGCCCGGGAATCCCAGAGGGTGGGAGCGGAGCCGAGGCGTCCGCCTGGAGCTTGGTTCCCTACCGCGGGAATCTGCGCGACTGCTTTTGCTCTTCAAGCCCAGGGCCGAGATGCTGGGAAACGTCGCTCTTCGCTTCTGCACTGGGAGGCCTTGCTGTTCCGATTCGTGTCGCTCTGAGATGCTGGGCCTTGTAGGCCACTTCTCAAATCAGCGACTTTGATTTGCAGCCTTCACTCACAGCCTCAGGTCAGGGGTTTCGGGACAGCGCTGCGCAATCCGGACACTTCAGCACTGGAGCGTGTGCACCGGAACCCAGTTTCCCAGGACAGCATGATGTTAACCCATGACACCATGATGTTAACCCATGACACTCACCCCTTTTTTCTTTGAGCTTGACTGATTGCTTCATTTTAAATTTCATCTAAGCCCCACCCGCCTTGGCAATCCTGGGTATTCTGGTGCTGAAAATACCCAGGTGCTCCCTTGCCACTTTTTCTGGTCAGGGCGCCCCTGGTGGTTTTTAAGCAAAGGGTATTTGTGAGCCGATAGAAACTCTGTCCCTGAAGCTCAGAGTTTATATTTTTAAAGAAAGGCAAATGTTTTATTATCACAGTATTATTATTATTATTTTTTTTAATCCTTAGCATCAAACTCTTCCAGCGACATTTTTTTTGGGGGGTGGGGTGGGGCTTGGATTCCTTAAGCTGTAGACCTGGTTGCAGGCAGGTCTTGTTGTCTTGAACTTACAAAATAACTCCAAGAGGGCTGGGGTTGTGACTCGGCACTTGCCATAGCATGTGTGAGGCCCTGGGTTTGATTCTCAGCACCACATATAAATAAATGAATAAAATAAAGGTTGTTCATCAATAACTAGAAAATACATAAAAAACCAAGAGAGCTCTCTGCTGAGCATGACTTATTTTGTCAGTAATGCACAGTATTGTAGAGAATAGAACAAAACCATTCTCACCTACTCACCCAAAGTTCTAACTTCCTTTGCTTCATTTCTTGTAAGAATAATAAAAAATTTAATCTTTTGGTCCCTAAGCGAGCACATTATCAAAATGAGAGTTGGTTATTTGGGTGGGGAGTTGGGGTGGTGAATACTTGATGAAGATATGATGGTATTCGAAGGAGATGCCTACACTCTTATAAAACTAAGATTTTAAAATTGTCTGAAGGATCTAGAATGGTGGAAGACAGGTTAAATAAACTTTTTAGCTCTCTAGGAACTAGGAGATTCCCACCCTATTCCTAGGTATTGTGAAAAGAAGGCAGAAAGGGAGTAAGCATCTGCCAGTGATGAGAGACAACTGGGACTGGAGAGTGTTAAGACAACAAACTGCTCTGTACAGAGAGAAAAAGGATGGGGGTGGGGACAAGGGAGAATCACAATGTAAGATTAAAAACTAGTGTTTCTCCCATTCTTGATTTTGAGATTATATGGAGGCGGGACAAGAACTTGGACTTAGGTTTCGTATATTCAATAAGTCTCATATTGCCCATTTCTTGCCCATCTCGTTTTTAGTTTTTACACTAATTAGAAAGACTCTTCCTCCCTTTTAAGCTTTCTGGGGATTGAATTGAGGGCCTCACACATGCTAAACATTCACTCTACCTAGGAATTACACTCCCAGCCTACTAAACTTTTTTCATGTTTTGTGATGCTTAACCCTGTTGTGCTCTACCACCAAGCTTGACACTCAGCCTTTTCTTATTTTTGAGACAGGGTCTCACTAAATTGCTGAGGCTGATCTGGAACTTGTGATTCTCCTGCCTCAGCCTCACTAGTCTGGGATTACAGGTGTGTCACTACTCCTGGCTTCAACTTTCTTGATTAGTTTTTATTTCAATTACAGGAAGAGAAGATCTAGTCTGTGTTGCCACTTATTGGGTCATCACCTCATCAGTTTTCCCCCTTATGTGGCCCATGAGCTTCTTGCATAAAAATTACTTCGAGTGCCTACTAAAGGGCAGATTACTGGGGTGCCAACCTTAGACTTGCTGAATCAGAATTGAGATTGGGAGTGGAGGATTGCAGGCTGAGCCTCTTGGGCAATGCAATTAAAGTTTTAAGACTTAGTATCTCCCCAGGAAGAGGAAGCAGTTAGCTTACTGCTCAACTTTGTATCCTTAGTGTCTAGCAAAATGCATGAACTGTAGCACATACTTAAACTTGTTTTAAAAATTTTTATAAGTTGTTAGTTTTTTTTAATAATGCCTTCTTGAATTTTAAATCCCTTTCTGTGCTTTATGCAGTCTTGAATCTTTGGTTATTGTGCTGCTTAGGCATTGAGATGAAAACTAGGTATGTAGGATGTGTCTAAAACAATATAGTAAATTTGGGGTCTAATTCCTATAAAGTACTTCACACTGTGTGAATGGAGTTTTTTTTAATAGATGTGGCAAAATAAATTTAAGCATATTCATTTGAGTTTATACATATTTGTCATTGTTAAATGTAGGATGGCCCACAAAATGGAATCAACGGCAAAGAAGATGTTTAAAGGAATTTTAGTAGCTGAATTGATGGGCGTTTTTGGAGCTTATTTTTTGTTTAATAAGATGAATACAAGTCAAGGTAATCATAATTCAGTAGTTAATGTTTTCAAGATGGACATAATGCATTTTAGTTATTAAATGCTATTGGCATTTTTGGAGAAACATTCCTTCAGATTCAATGTATTAGATGTTTTTATGGGCAGAGAGGAAGCAAGGTATTTATTATGGTAGATGAGGTGACTCTCACATTTTTCACATGCTAATTTGCTTTTAGACTTGGAAAACTTCCACAACTATGGGTTTTACTTGTGGGAAGGGTAGGGTCAGCATTAGTTTGGGAGCAGCCTGCCCATTGTATTTCCTTGCTTGGTAGACTTATAGAAAGCAGGAAGTAATATCACTGTATTCTCAGGATAACCAGTTTACTTGGGCTATAGTAATCTTCCTATACATCAATAGTGAGCAATAAAACCCTTCCCTGTGCAATCACTGAAAGTGATTTATATTAGAGTTCTCACATTTTAAATTAGGAAGTACTGCTTTTTCTTGCCCTAAAACTGAATGAAGCAAAGAGTAGGGTGGTGACTTATCTTTGAAGTGTGTCACTTCTCTTCCTCAAAGTATCTTATTGGAACACTGTGTACCAGAGTGCTACTGGATAATTACAAATTTTTATACAGAGTTAATACATATTAAACTATAAAATAATACATATTAAACTATATACATATATGTGAACTATATATAATAAGAAAGGGCATAAAGAAAACATACCAACAGTTTTTAAAAGCAAATTAAAGTTTGGTATTAGTTTAAAAAACTAGGTATGATTTTATTTCCAATTCCTTGTCAAGATAAAATAACATCCATAAAAATTCATAGTTATATTTAATGAAAACTCACATTTCTAAATTACACCACATTTAAAACTCTTTGTATCATAAAGACTCTAAATTACAAAATTGTGCCTTTATGTTTTACTAAGATGAATATCTGATCATGTCTAACTTCCTTTTTGTCATTAGATTTCAGGCAAACAATGAGCAAGAAATTTCCCTTCATCTTGGAAGGTATGTTTTTCTTAAGTAAAAAGGAGTACATAACAACTTTTTCAGGTAATCTGTAAATTCTGCAGTAAATTATGACTGAGGACTAAATGGCTTTATTTTATCGTATGTCAGTTTTCAAAAACACTATTCACCCCTATTTTAGCTCCTTCTGAGACCATAGTGGGGAAAATTCTTACTTAGTTATCTAGATGAGAGCTGAGTTAGCTATGGGCAGATTCTTAGTACTTCCAGTGATTAAGAATGTAGAATGAGACACATCTGGGTGAAGCAAACCACAACTTAAACCTCAGTTTTAAAAATTTGTTTTATCTCAAGTTTGCTATCTCTCAGAGCTGCTTCTGTCAAGTAATGTGTCTCAGGTGATTGTTATAAGGACAGAACAAGATTATGTTATAACACTTGATCAGTGCTCATTACGGTAATTAGTAGTTAGAACTTACACAGGAAATGTTAATAGTATTGTTGTTTTCATTTAATTATGTAGCAATATGGAAAAAAGATTATTTTTCTCAATGAAAGTTTAACGTTTTATATGATTTTTATGAATGGCAGTTACTTTTATTTATAGTTTACTATAAAGCCATCGAACAGTCTGGAATGTATGAAATCAGAAGGCAAGATCAAGAGAAATGGTTGAATAGCAAAAATTAAGAGTAAGTATAAGTAGAATTTTAAGTTATAATTTAATAATTCATTTCCTTTGCTTTTTAGTTTTATGAGTGGGTTTCTGCCTCTTCTTCTTGAAATTTTTCTTTTTCTTGATAATACTTTTCACATCTCTGTTGTGTAGCCAGTCATCACGTTCAGCCTCCCATCTGAGCTGTTTGAGACCTTTGAAAGGAGAAGAAAGATGAGTTTAATCCCATTATAGACTCTGGACTACCACAGAACATTCTACCAAGTAACAGGAACTTCAGGTCTGCTTTGGCCTGTGACTTCCCACCCACTATGCAAACCCACTCCTTGTTCGTTGCTCTTCTGTTTTTATTGTCAAAGATTAATATTTTACAAATAAATGACTAAGGAAGAAAAAGGAAAAAACGTTCCGAAGATTTCATTTCCCTGAAACACTTTTACTTGTAAAGAAAAGAAACAGTATATTAAGATTAGATATGCTAGGCAAATGCTCTACCACTACCACTGAACTATAGCCCTAGACAAGGCTATTTTTAAAAACTTCAATTAAAAAATTCAAGTTACTTACTTGCATTATCTTTATTAGCCATGGCATTTATGCCAATATTATCAAACTTGGATCCCACATTCTCATCCAACAGGTGGCCAAACTTTAAAAAAAAAAAAAAAGTTTATTAGAAAATGTAAAAATGTAGAATAGCTAACTTCTAAAAACAGTATATTAGCCTTACCTCTTCAGCAGATACAAACAGGCTGGAGTCATTGAGGTTTCGTTTCTTTTTTTTTCTTGGTCCTAAAAAACCAGTGTCCAGATTATTCAATTCTAAATCCTATATATATATATTTTAAATGTAAATCTTTCAACATGAGCTTACATAAAAAGTTATAGCAGAGTAAAGACATAACTGCAATTATCTTCTAGCACTATTAAGAAGCAGATACTTGAATAAACATAATTTAAGAATTACTATATACAATTTTTAAGAAAGCTGATAATTCTAATAGAATTTTTCAGATCTGGCCACTGATCAGAATTTGCCCTTAAGAGAAATATTATCAACCCAGATTAAAATTTCAAGGTTGATAGGATGGGTTTTTGGAATATTTAAGGCAAATAAAATTAAAAAAAAAATTTTTTTGTAATTATAAATGGACAGCATGCCTTTATTTTTATGTGGTAATGAGGATTTTTAAAAATTATAATTTAAAAATTCAGCTGCCTGAAGTACATTAATTCAGTTTTTTAATAAACTTAGAATTGTTCAACCATGACCATAAACCAATTTAGAACATTTCCATCAACTCCAAAAGATCCTTGGTGCCCATTTGCAGCCATGCTACCCCTATTTCCCTGGATTTACATTGTTTTTGATTTGCCTTTTCTAACTTTTTCATATAAATGGAGTCATTTATATGGTTGCCTATATCTTCCTAGCTGGTATAATATTTTTGAGGCTCATCCATGTTATGTATCAGTACTTCATTTCATTGGCTGAATACATCCTAGTGTATGGATATATCACATTCTTTTTTATCCATTTATCAGTTAATGGACATTTGTTTTATGTTGATTTAGCATTAATGAATAAGGCTGGTATGATCAACCCTTTATAAGTCTTTATGTTGACACATGAGAGCCACTTTAAAAAAAAAATTTTTTTTTAGTTATAGATGGACACGATATCTTTATTTATTTATTTTTCATGTGGTGCTGAGGATCAAACTCAGGGCCTCACCATGTAAGGCAAGTGCTCCACCACTGACTGAGCATTTCTTCTTCATTTTTATTAAGGTGAAAAGTATATTACATAAGAACTGAGTAAATACTAGCATAGCAGTATCTGTTTGAACTCTATGAGTAAGTATGTCTGTACCATTTTCTTAAAAGTTCCCTTAGTTTGTTTGGTCTTTTTTCTTTTTCCCTCTTTTTTTAATTGTACTAAGGCTTGAACCCAGGGCCTTGCACATGCCAGGGAAGTGCTCTATACCCCAGCCCTGAGGGACGAGCCTCAGGAAAACTGCATTTGAGCATATGCTCTTAATAAAATGTGATTTACTATTACTCAAGGGGAGTAAAAATCTGGAAAATAACAATTTTTATCAGTTAAATCATTTAGGTATTAGGGGATAATACCAGCAGTATTTTTAAGAGCTGATAAAAAAATTTTGTAGGCTTAAGTAGGCTAAAATGCACATAGTTTCTTTAAAAATATTTAAATTGTTTTTATTTAACTTTGCAAATCTATTTTTAATTTTTATCAGTATCTTCCGGTAAGTACAAGCTAGAAAGACATTAGAAACAAAGCATTTAGTGCTTTCCATATTTTTATCAAAAACTTGGAAGTGTCACTTGACATAGAACTTTTTCTTTTATTTGTACTTTGCAAATGTTAATACTATAAAGCATAATCTTATGAAATATATTATAAAGAATATTAGAAAATTAATCATAAAGGAGAATGTAATTAATGAAGGAGCATGAATTCTTTTTTCTTTTTTAAAATATTTATTATTTTGTCTTAGTTGTAGGTGGACACCACAATATCTTTATTTCATTTTTATGTGGTGCTGAGGTTTGAACCCAGTGCCTCACATGTGCTAGGTGAGCATTCTACCACTGAACCACAACCATAGCCCCAAGGAGCATGAATTCTGACAAGGGTCAAATGGCAAAGAAAACATTTTGCTGAGGAAAGGAAAAAGCAACACTCTGAGAATCCAGGGCTTATATATGATGAAGTGCTTTAAACATGAAAAGATGATCTAGATAGAGATATTTAAATGTGAGAAGAAGAAACTTAGGAAGATAAAAATGATTTAAGGTGAATGTCAATAGTTTTCACATTAAAAGAAAAAACCCTATTACCAATTATAGAAACATCTTTAAGGAAAAAAAATCCTAAAACTTATTAACCAATAGAAAAGTTTATCTCCAAAAATGATAATGAATAATACTTTTCACATGGATACTGTTTCAGTTTAAAAGATTAAATGCATTTTCTTACCTTGAAATGACCCAGCAAAGTCAAAATCATCATCATCCTTTCTCTTGCTTCTCTTAGTACTGACTTTTGAGCCGTCTTCATCAGACTCTGTTACCCAAATAAATTTGTTATTAAGCCATTTCAAAACAAAAGAACTTCAAGGTATGTTAAAATCTTAGTCTGATGGCAAGGATTGAACCCAGGGCCTCGCATGTGCTAGGGGAGTACTCTACCGCTGAGCCATAACCTGTTAATTATTATTCTAACATTAAAAAGATACAATATACATACTCAACTAGTATTGTATAGAGAGGCTAATTATTGATTAAAAGTCCCAAACTTGGGGCTTGGGACGTGGCTCAAGTGGTAGCGCGCTCGCCTAGCATTCGTGAGACACTGGGTCCGATCCTCAGCACCACATAAAAAAATAAATAAATAAAGATATTGTGTCCACCTAAAACTAAAAAATAAATATTTAAAAAAAAAAAAGTTCCAAACTCAAAACTCAACAAAAAAATACTGCCTTTAAACCTTCAGTTTGAAATAAGAAAAAGGTCCTCTTTAAAAATTCTAGTTTATTGTATTAATTTGAATACAAATTACATTAGAAATCTTTATTAGAAAAAGTAGCCCAAGACTGAGAAAGGATTTTTTTGTATTTGTATTTTATTAAAAACAAGAACAACCAAAACTCACCTGGAATGCTCTCATTTTCATCATCTAACACATCCATGAATGTTCCTCCATCTTCATCGATTTCAGCAAATTCTTCATCATTCATACTTCCCAAAGAAACTTCATCATCATCCAGGTTATCGAATTCATCATCGCTATCCTCTGAATCTTCATATTCCAAGTTATCCTTAGCTTTTTTTGTTTTTTTCTTCATATTGCTGGAAAAAAATCCCAAACTTATAATGTAATGCGGGTATTGTTTTCTAAAGTGTTTAGGGCCTAATATAGTACAAGGATACTGAATGACTTAAAAGGAAAATTAAAGACTACTCAGAGTATACTAACATGTATTACAAATGTCCAAAATAAAAGTACTACACTCACTTCCCAAACTTAATTGAATACAATTTCCCCATAAAATCATGTAGATCTAGGTCTGCTGCTGTGGGAGACAACAATTTGGGAAGTATTAGGAAACAGTAAAGAGAAGATTGAAGTAAAGTATTTTACCTGGCAAAATCAAGATCATCCTTTCCAGGAGTGAAACAGTTATCATCTTCAAATGTGTCTGTCAGAGAACAAGATTCAAATTGTGAAACACAGCAAAGAATAACAAGGTTGACATGTCTTATATCTGAATCAATTACAGTAGAAGAAATTATGTTCTGTTGTTTATGACAAGCACCAAAATGACAGAAACATGATTACTATTGGTGTGTCTTAGAACTGTTAAAAGCTGATTTTAATGAAGTGTCTATACTAAAATGGGTTCTACTTCTTTTTACAGTTGCTTTATGGAGAAAAAAGTACATTAAATAAAATGACTTGTAGTAACTTCAGTTCTTTTTTACTTTATGAGAACTATTTAGCTGCTTATTTTTAGTAGATATAATGTAACAAAAGTGAAATCAATGTTAAGTCTTTCCAATTTTGCATGTATTTTGTTTTAGTCTGTTACATTTCAATTAAAATTTCAAGTACTGTGAGAAGATAAAATAGATGAGACAGTAGACTAATTCTAGCAATAGTATTATGAGACTGTGAACAATAAATATGGTTCTTATTTGGCCTTAGGAATTATATACCATATAAATAGAAACTTTCTCACTTAGACTATTTTTTAGATTACATGTGGTTGAGTTACCATATACCATCAAAATATTTCTTAATCCTTCATTATGACTTACATGATATTCTTAGCTAAATGACTTTTTAAACACTAAGCTCACTTATGCCACTAAGGTTCCATTTTCTAATAATAAATATTAATAGATCTAAAACTGAGATTCAATAAAAACAAATTACCAATCATTTTTTCAAATTCCTCATCATCCACATCTTCTACACTCTCTTCATCAGCACTCCGTTTTTGTTTCTCTTTAACAATAGCAACTTTTTTATAATACCTAAAACAAAAATGCATCTTATGTATTTATTAAAGGTCTGATCTTGATATAATCAAAACACTGAAGACAAACCACAATTATATTAAATTTTTTATGTATAGACAATTGGAGATGAGTGAAATTTGTCAATATACAAAAAATAATTAGATTTCAACAAAATAGGTATAAACTTGAGAAATGCAGTGGAATAAATTTCAACAATCTTAGTTTCTTATAAACTATTTCTTAACAACTCACTGATTAACTCATCTTAATCAGCGTGGCACAGTAGGGGATGGGGGTGCAGCTCAGTAGTACAGCATTTGCCTAGCATGCACAAGGACCTGGTTTGATCATCAGT